GTTTCCAGTCAGTAAAAGTTTTCTCCCTCACTGCAGGATCGTTCAAGTCTATTAGTTTAGGGTTGTTTACACACCAATCAGCGAGTATGTGAGCGTTGGACTGAGTGCAGTAGAAACCGGGTGCATACAAATGATGAAACAAACACTGATGTGCCTGTTGTTCATCAATGGGTGGGAGTATTAAAATGTCACTAGAAAGTGGTGGACATCCCAAAGACTCGAGACTGATCACAGCTCGTTGATGATCCAGTATTTCTTCTAAAACTTTTGCCTTCTCATTTGAAGCAGCGTAAAGTAGTTGTGTACTGCAACAAATGTCCTGCAGTGCAGGAAGTAGAGATTCATACTCGACACTCCCTGTGTCAAATCCGATGCCGTGATAGTGTTTGCTCAGCCACCTATTATGTCCTTCAAACGCCGAGGTGTGCCATACTCCACAGTCAGGTCCAGTATATACTGATGTGCTTGTGTCCTTGGGCAATTTAAATATCCAATGTTGAGAACATCTTGAATCCAAGTCCAAAATTGTAAGCTCTTTGATTATAACCTTCTTGTTGTTTCCGACAAAAGCACTGAAATCTATTACTGCCTTAGCAATCATGATTGTGTTGCCCGCACCAACTGTAGGAAAACGTCTGAGTGAACTAACTGGAAGCTGTGGGATATATAGCCTTTCCCCCTCCACACTTACATTATTTTGCGAACCAAATTAGTGGAAGGATCGTATGTGAACGACTTGTCGTGTATGATTAAACAGTATGCAGTAGTATTGGAGGGAAAAGCTTCACTGGCTACAAACTCCAAACGAATATCGACCGGAGCAGACCTGAGGGATTCGTTCTGCTTCGAGCAATCAATTACAACTACAGGAGCGTGATTTATGAAACTGCTAACGTTCAAAAGTGGTTGTGAAGGAATATTGTAGTATGATTCCTGGAAACGAGTGTACATATCGTATAAGATTGCGTACCGGTTCTTACTGATATTCAGTTTTAAATCATCATAAGGATAATTTATGGAATTAAGATGAAGCTTAAGATTGGATATCTTACAGTGATCAAAACATGCTGCTGACTTTTTGATGTTGTTTTTGCGCTCTTTCTGGAACGCTACCATAACATGTCTAGGTTTTTCCAGTTGAGAAGCAGTCTTTACTGACCATGACTGTTTATCAGACAAAGGTAGGGAGGGATATTCATAGAGTTCCCAGCTTCTAAATTCTACAGGAATGCTTGTACCCCGTTCCAAATGGCGAAGCAAGGCGATCCTTTGTTTGTCACTCAGTGTAACGTATGGGACTCTCCAACACAGTTTTTCAAGTTTAACCTTAACGTCTTCAGGTGTTGTGTCAGTGGCACTGGCAGCAGTCCACAAAACCGCATTCTTATCCCCTGCGGATCTGATCAGAACCAGTTCATGACGACAGTTGACAATTACTTTTCTGTAATCTTCTGCAAACCCTAAAAGTTTACTCAGTGGTATGCAAAAACTGAAATTTCCTTCGGAATCCACTACATGTGATTCTAGTGTTGATGACAATCGGTCAACTGTAGATGGCCAGCCTGAATTTCCTAATCCCTTCAACACGGTCTCGTTTAGTGAAGCGTAACCTTTAAAAGTAGATGTTATACCAGGATTCTTTACGCGATCGATCTCTACACCATTGATTTCATACCGAATTTCATCGAACAAAAAGGCAAAAGCGTTTGTTGTAAATCCAGTTCTTGTAGGCTTAGCGTCGTCTTTAGTAAGAAGCTTTCCTTCGATGTACAAATAGCTCATTGAAGGGAGAACACACAGATCTTGTTGTTGTATAGGTATTCTAATTTCATCGTTGTTCTCAAGTGTGCTAGAAGCATATGGGAAATGAGTGTGGTATTCCATGTGTGATATTGTATCATCAAATGGAACACTTCCCAAAATGTTTAATATATCCATTACTGAAGTACTTGAAATCCTAACGAGCGTAAAAACCGTTGATTAGTACGTGTTAACCGCTTGGGTGGTTGACTAACACTGTTTACCCTTGGCTTGCGGGTGTCCAATAAATAGCCTTTGTTCTCTCTCTGCAGATTAGAAGCACACTTTGAAGGTGTGGGTGGGAAATAAACATAACCCATTGTCTATTTCAATCCTGTGACTCTTCTAATATGTAAACAGGTTGTTATACGTTCACCTCTGAAATCCACCAGTCTTTCGTCCTGATCAACAATCTTAAGCGTAATGTTACTAATGACCTTAGTGGTGATCGGCAGGTAAATGACGGAGTTTGGAACTTCAACCAGCTTATATCCGGGAGGTACAGAGGGAAAAAACTGATAGATGGTGTGCGCTTGTCGATTATTTACGTAGGACCCACTCGATATATTACACTCCAGTCTTATTGTGTTTATTTTAAAGATATCTACTACGTTCTTTGAGTAAATTTCATTCCCTGGCTCTGCAACTTCCTTTTGGAAACCCAAAAGAGATCCTACAGAGTTTGGTTGAGAGAAATCCACCTGTACAGTGCTCTTCATGGAGGTCTGTAAAGTATTATTGTTAGTCCCTAGGCGTATCCAATACTTTTTCTCAGACGACTGTGGTAATAGCTTAAACTTCTCCCTTATAAAGCTCTCAATATCCTGTACCTCATAAGTGCCGGTAGGGATTTTAATCACTTTCCCATTGTCAAAATGAAACATATTATTGGTTTCATCAATATTAGGTATCGAGTTGTAAGTCTCAAAGCTGAGAAGGCCAATCTCGTACTCACAATTTGGATCCAACTCAACCGGCGGGAAGTAGTCAACAGAGAGTGTAGAACTCCTACCCGAAAGTACAAACGTCAGAGACATGACTGGACGGGAAGGGACTAAAACATCTTATTTATAACAGATATTTATTAGGTTGTAGACAAAAAATATAAACACAAATGCCCACAGTTTTCACTCTTATTGTCTACATCCTGATAAGCAGTCTTGTTGTAGGAGACATAATTCCCCTTCAGATATTTGTGAAGTTCCAATGGTGGTGTAAGATCTCCGTAGCTGTCAAAGTACCTTACAAACTCCCCATTCTTCTTGTAGCAGACCCAATGTGTGCCGTGACCAGTGCTGTCGTCCAAGTTCACTATTGCAGACTCATTTTTCCACGGGCTTTGTGGTAGTTCATCCCGCATAAATACCCCTCTAAAGTGTGGAATCTTTAATTTCCTTGCCCAATACACCAAGTCAAAATCGTATAAAGCACGTTTGGGCAAGAAGTTTATAAGTTTTTTGGTTGCTTCTGGTATGGGGCCATGTAAATTCCGAGTCCCTTTTTGTAAGGTCTAAAAAACAAACCCTTTCCATTGCGTAAAGCGATAGCTTCCATGGTTTCGTTATGTCTCTGCAGCTCTCCCAGGCGTTTCTTTGCATCTTTGGCTTCAGTTATTGCTTTAGCCACACCAGCAGCCCCACCTGCCAAGCTACCCAGTGCACTCAAACCCGCGAAAATCGGCAATAATGGCAACACACCTCCTGACTTGGGTAATGCGAGAATGCGTTCTCTACGACGCAAATGGTCAAACGCAGCACGCTTTCCTCTTCGCATGGACTTGATAGCTTGTAGAGCAGACGTGGCGGCCTTTTTCAAACGACGTCTACCTCCATCTTTACTTTCCTTATAAAATTTCAGTCCTGAGCCCTGTACAGCGTCTCTTGCCCGTCGCAATATGTCGGAAAAGGTAAAAGGTTTGGAGGTTAGTTTCTTAGTAGCACTTCTCCTCTTCTTTCTGCAAACGGTCCTTCTACGTTTAGTGGTTGTACCCATTCCAGACTTGGCTTTGCGAGCTCTTCTCCCTCTCTTCACCGTACCCGCACCGAGCTTCAACTTTGCATTCATTGCACTGGCGACGACCCAGGAGGCGAGCTTCTCACCAAACGGTACACCTTTAGAGCTAAAACGTGTCCAAGCTTTGTCAGCAAGAACTCTGTCTGCAGCTTGACGACTAGGAAGATCTTTGTTCTTGCTATAAGCTATGTCGTGTTCTTTACATGCCCGATCCAACAAGTTAATTCCTTGATCCCCACGCTCCAGACGCTTCCTCAAATCTGACCCAGGGCCACAGTACTGATACCCGGGCAAGTGAAGTTCGATAGGCAAAGAGTCTATCCCGCGATTAAGTAGTCCTCGACCTCTCGAGATCCTGATCATACTGAGCTAGTGATATATCACTGAATCCTTATATATCACAGCAGCACTTTGTGTGTGACGCTTGTGGTGTAAGGATGAAATTTCAAAAGCAACGTGACACGTTCACTGTGGACAACTCAGTGGACAAACTGATCACCACTGACAGTGAAGTTGAGAAACATGGCAGCCTCCTTCCTCGGTCCATTAGGTCTATTGTGTGTGGACCGTCAAACTGTGGTAAAACCAACTTAATGTTCAGCCTTCTGACTGAACCGAATGGACTAAAATATGCCAACATATATGTGTTTAGTAAATCACTAATGCAACCAAAGTACAAGCTGTTAGAGCAAATAATTAGTAATCTTCCATATATTGGGTACTTCACATTTAACAACAGTGAAGAGGTACCGGATCCAGGAGAGGCAAAACAGGACTCGATAATGATTTTTGACGACGTGGCTTGTGACAAGCAAGATAACATGAGAGCATACTTTAGTATGGGTAGACATAGAAATGTAGACACATTCTATCTCATACAAACCTACACCCGCTTGCCAAAACATCTAATTAGAGATAATGCAAATCTCATAATTCTGTTTAAACAGGATGAGCTCAACTTACATCATGTCTACAAAGATCACGTAAACACCGATATGACGTTTGAAAAATTTAAAACGCTTTGTAGAGCTTGTTGGCAAAAGCAAAAGTATGGATTTGTAACCATCAATAAGGACTGTGAAATAAACAAAGGTCGTTATAGGTGTGGTATAGACACGTTCATTACTGATATATAAGGTCAACTGCTTGCCTTCACATGTTATAACAGTATCAGATTGGCTAAGAGAATGGACGTATATACTAGTGTCCCGACAAGAAAACGCCCTAGGAAGAAGGTTGGTAAAAAATTCAAGCTTAACTTAAAAACCTACCAACGACCACCGAGTAGAGAGCAGGCAATCAAACGAGAACTGCTGAGGTTGACCGATTCCGTTCGAAAGAAGTACAGACAACTAAGGAACAATGCTGAGCATGTAGAACAATTGTTGGAAGCCCAAGCCAAACCGCTTATAAAACCCCTACAAGAGACTTTGGAAACACGTCTGAATGACTCTTATAGATACATTAAGAAGGAAGAACCGGAAGATGTAAAAAAAGAAAACATTTTAATAGAAAAGATACAAAATGAAGAATGTGAAGCGGATAAGTCAATGGATATGTCTACACAAACACCTACACCTAGTCAAATACAAAAATACCTTAAACGACTTTCCGGCCCCTCATATAAGGACAAAATAGACTCCACATATGGAGTTAAACTCGATGGGAGAGGTAATATGACCATTGGCAGTTTAAGGATAAAGTTTACCAACTCGCATGTAATTGTAAAAGATCGTAGCTACGAGGCTACACCAGGACTCCTGGAACTTCTTTTCATGCAGGTTCCCGACAAAGCTTCCATTACACAACAAGACCTACAGTCTTATAAGGAGATACTGCAAGCTTCCAACGCCCATCGTCAAATGTATTCCGCAGAAAAACCTATAAATAGCAACAGAGGTAAAAAGTACTCAACTGTTATTTCAGTGCTGTTTCCACCAAAGTACAGTGTGGCAACATCGGCATCACCCTCTGGGAGTGGAATAACTGTGGAAAACATTGAACCGTATAAAAGCAATGCCAATCTACTGGTAAAACGACTTAAGACCTTAATTCTCTCGAAAGAAGCAGGTCACACAGCTCACAGTGAAGAAATACAATACATAATAGGTTTGTTAAAATTAAACGGAATAATAGCTTGACACAATGAGTGACAGATCAACTGAGGAGTCTTTGTCGGCATCCAAGAGAGGAATTGTCAACGAGCTGCATAGACAAGCCAGAAAGAAATTCGTTAGAAGAAAGGTTTTTGTACGCGGTATAGATGATTTGTGGCAAGCCGACCTGATAGAAATGATTCCTTATGCTAGGATAAATGGAGGGAAAAAGTATGTTTTGATGGTGATAGATGTGTTATCAAAATATGCATGGGCAGTGGCGTTAAATAACAAAGCTGGAAAAACTGTTGCATCAGCATTGGAAAGTGTGATTGAAGGAAGTGGTCGGATACCACGCAATATTCAAAGTGATCTCGGCACTGACTTTTACAATAAAGAGGTTAAAACACTAATGAAAAAACATGGTATCAACCACTATAGTACGTATAGTCCATTAAAGGCCTCAGTCGTTGAAAGACTCAACAAAACGATAAAGAACTGGATGTATAAAGAATTTAGCGTACAGGGTAACTACAAGTGGCTAGAATTACTTCCTAAATTGATTAAAAAGTACAATTTTAGGGTGCACAGATCGATAGGTATGAAACCAAAAGACGTCACCAAACAAAATGAACAGTTTTTGGTAAAAAAGTTAAATATGTCTAAGACTGGTAGTGTCGCTAAGTTTAAAGTAAACGACAAAGTGAGGATCTCAAAATATAAAACGTTGTTTGAAAAAGGCTACACTCCAAATTGGAGTACCGAGCTTTTTAAAGTAGTTCGTGTACGTCAGTCATCTCCCCCTGTATACTACTTACAAGACGAAGAAGGAAACGATATAAAGGGCGCATTTTACGAGCCTGAACTACAAAAAAACTAACTATCCTGACACATTTCTTGTTGAAAAAGTACTCAGACGTAAAGGAAACAAAATATACGTAAAGTGGTTGGGATTTCCATCTCGGTTCAACTCTTGGGTATAGTAAAAACGAGCTACACAAACTAGCTAGGACGTCTAACAGGATCAAGATTTATGTCAAACGCCTTGGTTTTCCCTCAGTGGGTTTAAATAGGCTAATATCATGTTCGTTTCACCATTCTGGTTTGGATATTGTTATGATAAACATATATTGTACAAACTATGATCAGAAGACACGTTATAGACAAGTTTGGACACTCTTTGTATCAAGAACAGAAGCGTCACTTATCTGATGATGAAGACGACGATGCGTATGTGTTGAGTGATGATGGAACCAAGAGGTTCAGAGCTGCAGTGGATCCTGACGTATCACGTCAAAAAGTGTCTAAAGGTTATCTAAATCGTTTCTATGTGAACAAAGACGATTTAAATGAGGTAGAAGAAAAGTTAAAGACCTTTGCTGTTAGCCTCGAAGAGCTCCATCAAGCAGTTAAGGATGTAAAAAAATCAATAGTCTCCATAGAGGAAACTATTAAGACCGACCTAAGCGACATAAAGGAAAAACAGGTATCCTATCACGATAGACTAAACAACTTACAAGAATCGGATAAGAAATCATCTAAATTAATTACAGAGTTGGATGATAAGCTCAAGACGCTACAAGACTCGGATAAAAAAACGTCTACATCTTTAGTATCTTTGGATGATAAGCTCAAGAAGCTGAAAGACTCAGATGAGAAAACGTCTACACGTTTGATATCTTTGGATAAAAAAATCAAAAAGCTACATGAATCAGACGAGAAAACTTCTGCATCGTTAGTATCTTTGGATGATAAGCTCAGGAAGCTACAAGACTCAGATGAGAAAACGTCTGCATCTTTAGTATCTTTGGATAAAAAAATCAAAAAGCTACATGAATCAGACGGGAAAACATCTGAATCGTTGGTATCTTTAGAAGAAGAGATAAAGAAACTGCAAGAATCAGATCTGAAAACATCAAAATTATTAGGAACCTATGATAGAAGGATAAACACGTTGGATGAATCAGATGTCAAAACTTTAAAATTGCTTACAAATATTGATGCAAAGCTCACTGTATTACTTACGACACCAAAATTATCTCTCTCTTAAAATATCCGCGCGGGCGCGCGACCTGTCTAGACTTGTTTTCAGTTCAGTGGATTTATCCTTGACGCCATCTGCATCGCAAGGTCGATGATCGTACCTGTCCAGACCTGCACTCCGTATAAAACCTAGAACTGGTTTGCTGGTTTAGCCAGTATGGAAGCGTCAGTGAAGCGGTCGGCACCAGTTCCGCGTAAAGATCTTTCGCGAGTGAAACGTAAACGTACTAAAGCTCCGCCTGCTTTACCAGTGCATAATGTAATATACTCCGATGTAAATACTATGGACATTGACCAGCTTCTTGCATCTTTAACTGGTGAGACTCTACAAGACGTATCTGATTCCGTACACACAACAGCAGGTGCGGTCGAAACAAATTACTGGACCCGCGAGTGCAGTCAAAATGTCAACGCAGTGGAAGAGGATTACGGTTCAAAGGATGTGGAAGAGTACCGGCCGGAACAACCGTCAATTCAGAAAACACCATCCAACTCGTCAACAACAAAATCTGCCACACGTGCTAGGTCGAGCCAGGTTTTTCGCCAGAAAGATCATCAAAGTAATCTACATGCCTCAATTTTGCCACAACTGCCGCCGCCGCCGCCGCCCCCTCCTCAACATTCGCAACAACTATTACCATCAGCAGCTAAGTTATCTTCATTACCAGCCTCAACGTCGTCTTCAGTGTCATATACGTCTTCGTCGTCAGCACCGACAACATCTGTGGCGAGTCACTCTCATAGTATACACCAGCCACACAAAGCAGCTGTGCGTTCTGATCAGCAGCCTAACTCATGGGAACCGCATCTTTTACTTAGACAGATTTATAAAGTTGCAAACCAGGCTCATGCAGCTGTTGGTCTCGATTCAATTAAAGACTTTTCTCCCTCTATTTGTTTGGTAAATAATCAAACCTGAATTGAATTGACATTTGAAGATCTTTTGAGTCTGCAAAGCTCTACAGTTCACCACTCTATCGACAAGTTTTACTCCGATGAAACTCCATTCAATCCGTTCTATCTACATACGGTCATATTAGAACAAAGACCAAATGGATTAGTATCATTTTGTAACTATCGTCTGAGAAACAAGCCGGTTAATCACAATTTGAATTCCGTTACACTTTCAAGACCTTCAAGTGAATCTGATATCATTCGACAGACTCCCAGAGTGGTTCTTCAAAATGATGGATGGATCTCTTTAAAACGGTTGTTCCCATCCCTTGAGAGCTACTTTAATATCCTACTTGAAATAAACCCAACTGTGCAGTTTCTGATCTCTCGTTACACACGGTATTTTACCAAACACTATAAGGTAATGGCTCTACTTTCTTCAAACACTACAAATGACTTGGCTTCAATGTCATTGGACAAACAACTCGTTCGCCACATTACAAGTGATTTGCCACGATTACTTTCTGACTTGAATGAAAGAAGGTTGCCTGCAGAGACTCAAGATTTTTGGTATGAACGGACGGCACTTAGAACATCGATGTTGCCGTGGATTGATAGCGAGGTTCGACGATTCTGTGTAGCAAACATTATAGAAGCTGTATTAGAGAACATGAAGTATTTGTCAAAATGGTAAATATATAATTGCTGTATTGAATGTATCTTATTGTAATATATATTTTTACTGTAAACTTTTGTTCCTTTATTTATCTCCTTTACCTTTAGCTAAGGTACAACAACAATATAATAGATGTCAATTTATTTGATGAGTCAGTTATACAGTGGTAAAACACTCATTGGTTTTGTTAACAAAGATTACTTTACTTAAACAGCTGGTCAAGATCTAATTATTTATGACACAAGACGTAAGCCTGTGTTGTCAAGACTTACTAAGTAAGGTGTATTAAAGTACAAGAGAATTCTTTTCTTCTTTTTTATTTAAAATATTAGTTCAGATGTATATATACAAAGGTCATATAAAGTTGACAGAACCAACAGTTCAACATAGTTGCAATATTCAATACAAGATGATAAAAGCAAAAAGAAGTTTAAAAAATAAATACTGAACGATCACAAGTATAGAGTATGTTTGACTCTAAATAACCATAGTTTACACATTTAAATATTCTAGTTAATCCGTTTAATTTTAAATAAATACATAGAAAACAAAGTTGAACACAAAACATAGTTACAATATTCAATAAAACATTAGATGATAAAACAAGAAAAGACATAACAACTACAATATATGGACTATGTTGAGTCAATTTTACACAAAGCACATGAAAAAATTCAATTGTTAATCTGTTATATTTTACACAGAACATAAAGTTGACAGGGTATTTAAAACATACAATATTCAAGTTAATCTCTACAAAAATACTTAGAATACAAAATTAATAAAAAAAATTTAAACCCTCAGAGAAGACAAACATCGATCCACAGGTTGTCAACCGTGTGATCATAAATCTAATAAGGTCTGTAAATTTCAACTCGCTTGAAAGAGTCGACAATTGATTCGTCACCATCACTGTCGTTGTCCCAGTCGTGTACATGGGTATGTTCTGTACATGAATCCAAACTGTACAACTGGAACAACGGTGATAGTACGCAATAATCGCACCAACTGCTTTCTTGCCTTAGAATATCTCTTACGAACCCACTGGGATCGACACCAAAGTGATGTACTGTACTAAAGAATCGCCAATTCAAGGACTGCCAGTGTTCTTTATAATCGTCAAGTGGATCGGAGGGTTCACACGTTTTTATAAAACACCTTTTACATAAACGGTACGTACTAGTGTTACCTATAATATGCTCATAGTATTCAAAAAATACATGGCCTTTATCTGAATACGATGGCCAAAACTCAGGGTGAACCCTACTGTGATGATGAGTCAATATAAGAAATTCATACTTGTCTAGTTGGTTGAAATTCAAGTATCGGTATTGAAATTGACTGCGACTAAATGGAAGACAATACCTGTGGGACATCCAAATGTGTTTGAGTCTCTTACAAACATCGCGTTTTATTGAGTTTGGCAGGATCGATAGTATTTCTAATTCATCGAGACTATCTATATTATTTATACTATCTATGGCTAGACAAGTCGACGTAAGAGTTAAATCATATAAAGTCATTGTCGTTGTTTTCATTGCTGTCCTCCTCAGCAGTAGGTTCTTCCGCGATCGTCCTAAGTTTATAATGCCCGTAGGGAAGCGTGTTGATTCGGTCATTAGTAATTACTCTCTTGTTGTCTGAAGCGGACAGAGATCGTTTAACAACTGTTTTCGTTGTAATCCTGAATAGCCGGCTTTGGATTAGATTGAATTCGGCTTTTTCCGGTTCAAATCCTTCGAACAATGTTCTTTTATAGTCTTCAAACGATAGGTAACGTTTCACGTAGGATGATTTTATACCCTTTGCTTTTTTAGAAGTGAACTCTATTTCACTTTCATCCGACCCATAGCGATAAATGTACATTTTAGAACGTAGACCGACGTACTCTTGAATTTGTTTTCCTAAACGCGATTCGTCTTTGAAACAACCGATTTTACCTTTGTTTGTGTCGTCTTTGAGCGGATGTCCTACAGGATATACTGACATATCCAGATATGCAGCAAGTGTGGGCTGTTTTAATACTTGGAAAAGATCGCGATCAGTGGTCAAGTGCAGCAGATAACTATCTGTGTCTGTGTACTGCAGCCTTAACTCTTTGTCTGTAAAGTGGTTACAAAGTACGTCTTAGTAGAACTGATACATGTGTACTTTGGACAAGTCAAGCACACACATTCCCGCATAGATAGGAGCGTTGAGGATCACCGTTTTTCTTTGCATGTACACAAGTACGATGTTTTGGTCGATTATAACATGTTCCACGAATTGAGGGTTCCGAATAAGCTTTTGCAATGTACTGTCTTTAGTTACAATTCTGACGTCGTGGTGGTTACGCTTGTTCATAAGCAACCTTCCGTAGTTCGCATTATTCATCAATTTGAATATGCTTTTGTAGAACTCGTTTGTCGACTTGGCTCTCATTTCCGCGTTAAAGTCTACAAACTTTTTCATAAAAGGTGATTGTGAAAACGAGATTGCTCTGTGGACCTTTGTTACAATCAATCCCAGTTTAACGGCCTGTTGAAACACGGAATAATGAGCTACATATTTCGTTTTATCTTTTAGTGTCGCAAGCAGCTTTTTGTCCTTACTTCCCGGGGGTGCTTCTAGCTCAGGCAATGGCGGAAGGTACTGCAAACGATCGTGAACATTATCAGGGACTTTAAGATCACACTCTAGTATGTATCCGGTTGGGTTATCCGAAGGGACACTGGACCAGTCTAGGTTTTCGGGTGACTCTACTGTGACCGTGTTTTCGCTGGAGTGTACGGAATATCTCAATCGGTGCCCAAAATAAGTCAGCCTGCACGGGTTTCCGAACTTCCAGGGGTCAAGCGAGGTCTTTACCTAAACACGGTCGCAATGGTTTTTGATTTTTTTAGGAGAAGGCTCAGAACTCTGTCCAGACTCGAAACACCAAGGTTTATTCTGTGAGGCTCATCATCACCAACTCCTAACTTCTGACGGTTTAAAACGATTTAAACTGAGGGACAACGTAGAGGGATCGGACCCCGAACGATAACGGCGAATACCGGCAAAGTCGATCAAGTGACGCGGGGTGTCAGGGGAGCGACCCTGGTTCCCAAACAATGAAAGTCGGTCAAATGACGCAGGGTGTCAGGGGAGCGGCCCTGGTTCCCAAACGATGAAAGTCGATCAAGTGGCCCGGGTGTCAGGGTAGCGACCCTGGTTCCCAAACCACGAAAGCCGATCAAATGGCCCGGGGTGTCAGGGTAGCGGCCCTGGTTCCCAAAACGATGAAAGTCGGTCAAATGGCCCGGGGTGTCAGGGTATCGGCCCTGGTTCCCAAAGCGATGAAAGTCGGTCAACTGGCCCGGGGTGTCAGGGTAGCGGCCCCGGTTCCCAAAACGATGAAACGGCGGGCTAGCGTCGAGGGATCGTGCCTCGATCGCTAGTAACAAAGAACGACGAATAAAGTCGGTCAAATGACCCGGGGTGTCAGGGTATCGGCCCTGGTTCCCAAAACGATGAAAGTCGATCAAGTGGCCCGGGGTGTTAGGGTAGCGACCCTGGTTCCCAAAACGATGAAAGTCGGTCAATTGGCCCGGGTGTCAGGGTAGCGGCCCTGGTTCCCAAAACGATGAAAGTCGATCAAGTGGCCAGGGGTGTTAGGGTAGCGACCCTGGTTCCCAAAACGATGAAAGTCGATCAAGTGGCCCGGGGTGTTAGGGTAGCGACCCTAGTTCCCAAAACGATGAAAGTCGGTCAAATGGCCCGGGGTGTCAGGGTAGCGGCCCTGGTTCCCAAAACGAAGAAACGGCGAGCTAGCGTCGAGGGGTCGTGCCTCGATCGCTAGTAACGAATAACGGCGAATACGGTCGGTCAAGTGACCCGGGGCGTCAGGGTAATGGCCCTGGTTCCCAAAACGAAGAAACGGCGAGCTAGTGTCGAGGGATCGTGCCTCGATCACTAGTAACGAAGAACGGCGAATATGGTCGGTCAAATGACCCGGGGTGTCAGGGTATCGGCCCTGGTTCCCAAAACGAAGAAACGGCGAATAACGTATACGGTCAGTCAAGTGACCCGGGGTGGCAGGGTAACGGCCCTGGTTCCCAAAACTATGAAAGTCGATCAAGTGACCCGGGGTGTTAGGGTAGCGACCGTGGTTCCCCAAAACTACGAGACGGCGAGCTAGCGTCGAGGGATCGTGCCTCGATCGCTAATAATGAAGAACGGTGAATACGGTCGGTCAAGTGACCCGGGGTGTCAGGGTAGCGGCCCTGGTTCCCAGAACGATGAAACGGTGAGCTAACGTCGAGGGATCGCGCCTCGATCGCTAGTAACGAAGAACGGCGAATAAGGTCGATCAAGTGACCCGGGGTGTCAGGGTATCGGCCCTGGTTCCCAAAACGATTAAAACTGACCAAGCGACACTGGGTGTCAGGGGAGCGACCCTGGTTCCCAATACGATTAAAACTGACTAAGCGACACTGGGTGTCAGGGGAGCGACCCTGGTTCCCAATACGATTAAAACTGACTAAGCGACACTGGGTGTCAGGGGAGCGACCCTGGTTCCCAATACGATTAAAGCTTAAAGGGCTAACCTCTAGTGATAGTGGCTCTATGAATAGCTACAAATAAAATCGATGAAGTGACTCTGGGTGTCAGAGGAGCGACCCTGGTTCCCAGAACCGCTTAAAACGGCAAATAACCTCTATGCCAAACTAAAATGTAAACAAAAGTATATTCTTCTTTTAATTAACGAAATGAAATAACCCTTAAGCAACGATAGAATGTATGTTACGCTATCGAACGTAAGAGCGGTAGAGTGTAGCTATAGTGTTACTAAGGTGTAACCAAAGGTATACTGCACTCACCGGGGAGGATGTGTCCGACTGGGCTGGTGGTTGGTACGAGACTGACCAACTGAGCTCTCCGTTGCCGCTCGCTCTTGCCTTCCCCCACCCCGCTCGTGGCCCGACACTAGCGCCTGGCGCGGCAGCGGCCGTTCCGAGAATCTTCCGAATTGAGGAGGGGTCAACGTTTGCTCAGCCCAGTACTTTTCCACTCCGCTCATTACTACTTTCATTATCCAAAACAAATAAAACGATCTTCTCTCCTTGTTTAATATGCATTTATTTTGTATAAGGTCAAAATTTTTTAGGTGTCAATTTTTGACCGTTACACTACAAACTGAAAGTGTCCAGTTGGAAGGTATTTGCTTTGGGATGCGCCATATAAGTTTATGGCATCAAGCATAAGAAGCCAGCTCTGCTTTTCATTGGGATCGTAGTCAGCAGTATTGATTAAATGAGGGTTGTTTGCTTTGGCATAGCGGGTCACACATTGGACTAACCCACCTCGTATGCCACTTTCAATCATCAGTAACATATCAGGATCGGTAAGTAACTCAAGGGTTACACGTGTCATACGCAGCATCGCTTTGTAGGCAAGTCCAGGTGCGGTGTACATATGACAACAGTCGATCTTGTACGCTTCCAAACACGTTTTCCTAAATGATGTCAGAACGTCTGCAAGAATGCAGACGTCAAGTTTCAAGTAAAAATCATGGAAATCTCCAAAGGTTTCCATTTTTAATTTTTCCCAAACTTCCATCGCAAATGTGTAATCTTCCACCGAACACGGTTCGTTATTGAGTTTGTCATAAAATGCATCACGGTTTGGTAAGCTTGTTTCATCAAATACTTTTGCTGACGTTACATAACTATAAGGATAAACCCCTTTACGTCGGATGAGATTTAAATGTTCAGTGGGTACGAGTTTCGACGATTCTACGAGTTCATTTTCTGACAAGGTGTCGGCCAGTTTTGCCAGACTCCAAGACATCAGTCTAAAGGAATCAAGAAAGTGCAGCCACATACGACCCACTCGGACTGATATCGATATGTACTTATCGTTTGTACAAGGGATAACCTTTACTTCACAGTCTGGGACTGATGATAAGCTTTTTATGATAAAATTACCATCGTAATTCGACATGTTGTGACAATACACCGGGATGTAGTTTATGGTAGAGCTACGTAAATTGCATTTACTACAGATCACGTGTCTCATGTTACCCGATATATGACAGTGGTCTAAGACCCTGACACAGGTGCTGTCATTGAAAGCACGATCACACAGCTCGCAAGCCATGGTTGATTCGAAGCGCTCCGTCTCTTGAGCTGTTAGTGGTTTGACCGGTTCGAAACGCGTATAAAGTTGTTCGACACTCGCTGCAATTTGTTGCATATGAAACATAAACGACTGAGCAGCATTGGGACTACGGTGTACCTGCGGCTCCGTACTGATTCCTACTTCGTGCAATTTCTCGTCAGGTAGTGTTGACTTTACTAAAGTAGCATAGGAATTGGGTTCGTGACATTCGAATGAACGATCAGAGCCTACTATTGGTACAAGAGTAGCTTCAAAGTCGGCAATAACAATGACCGGCACCGGGATTTGATTTTCAAACTCCTCGTATTTTAATAGGTTTTCACCTTCCTTTGGTAGGCGAGTGTTTGCGAGTTTAAATTTTTTACAAAGTCGTAGGTGCTCTTCGAGCCATGACTTTGGATCCGGTTTACATTTTCGAACCTCACGGTGCGTCGAACACCGTTTGCAAATTACGATCTGATTGTGTCCGGCAGCCACTTGTGGACGTATCAGTTTGGAAAAATTAGATATATAAACATAGTGAGCGTTTTCGGCTGACTCGCGATACAATAATAAATCTATGTGGTCCTGTTTCTCATCAACTACCCGTAGTGGTGTTATATCACAGCCTGGAGCTGTTTCGAAAACATTTACCGAGGTATTGGGATTATTTAATTCAAACTTTGCGATTGACGACACTGTCACAGGAAATTTTATTCCCTCAAAGTTGTATACGTGCTCATAGTCAACGAACGATTCTTCAGTCAAGACTGAATTAACATCTACGTTCGGGAGGTGTTTCACTAGTACACTATATTTAAAACATTTAGAGTCTGTATTACGAACATTGATTGTGGCTTTCCTTTGTGTTATACGTTTTGGCAGTACTGTGTATGCTTTCCCAGTGGGTTTCTTAAAAGTAAACCTACTTACTCTAAGCGTTAGCGTTGACGGATGGTCCAGTGTCCATCCAGACCCCTTCCCTTCGAATTCAGACTCCTCAGTGAGTAGCTTGGCACCGTCTTGGGCGAGAATGTCTTGGAGATCATCGCTGCCGCCGTAGACTGTCCTGGTAGATGTTTTGAAGTTGAATTCTTCTTGCGTTCCTTCATGTTGATGGTTGAAGACTGACAACACCACCATGTTGTACTTGAGACTGGGCGATGTTTTAAACTCTTCTCGAAGCAGTTTCTCAGCAACCGGAAGTGCAACACTCAGGAACGCTTTCGTGTCACGGTAGTAAGCGTTGGGATTGTCAATGATAAAATCCCGACAACTTAGTAGACCTCTTTTCATGTACCATTTTAATCGAGGTGGTGTTCCAGACTGCTGTGATGTGGTGGCGCTCTGTCGAGTCGAATGTAGTTGGACGTTTGTAGACGTTTCTGGAGTTTGTAGTCGAGAGGTTGGAGGCACAGCTGCAGACTCCTCGAATCTCTCAGCAAGTGGTGGGCTGCTGTTCCGTAGCTTCTTTCCTCTAGAAGACGGATGAGCAACGTCCTCATCAGAAGACGATGTAGATAGAGTATGTTTCCTACCCTTGCTGAATTTTTTTGAATACACTTTAGTAGCAAGACACATTTGCTGGTGTCTCGCCAACGCTTTCACTGATATAAAATATGCTTCATGACAAATGGAACATTCTATAAACTCCATCATAAAAGAACATTTAACACACCGAGTCACACACACAAACACCGAGCACACAGATGTTACTACTACTCTGAGCACTGAGCGAATGAGTGCTGATCACAGAGTGCTGAGGGTATTTATGTCGGGGTGTACCCTTGACACATGGTCGTCCTTAACCTGAATCTTACATTGTCATTGACCCATTTTA